CCAGTTCTCCTGCATTTCCTTTGTTTCTCATCCTGTGTATTTTGGTCTACCAATCAAGTTATGTAGTTTTTATGTTGTGTTTCTTTGTTTTCTCTTTATTTATTATTTGTGTCTCTGTTCTGCTTTTGTGTTTAGTGGTTACCTTGAGGTTTGTATTCAAAATCTTCGTGGATAAGATAGTCCCTTTCCTGATGGCCTCTAATTTCCTTAGACTAAACTGATTCAGTCCCTTTCCTCTTCCCCTCCTAAGTTGTTTTTCTTACATCTTATTCCATCTTGTGTTTTGAGTTTGTGGTTAAAATGACAAGATTATCTTTGTTTTTGGTGTTTTCCTTCCCTTTGTCTTTAATGCTATACTTGAGTATTTGCTATCCTGCTCTGATTCTGTCTACCTATTCATCTCCTTACTCTGTGCTTTGTAACCCCTTTCTCCCCTTTTTTTTTCCAGGTATGAGGACCTTCTTGAAGATTTCTTGTAGAGGGGGTCTCGTGGCTACAAACTCCCTTAGCTTATGTTTGTCTGGGAAAGTTTCTATTTCTCCATCATATCTGAAGGATATTTTCGCAGGATAGAGTATTCTTGGCTGAAAGTTTTTGTCCTTCAAAGGTTTGCATATGTCATTCCAGTCTCTCCTAGCTTGTAATGTTTCTGCAGAGAAATCCACTGAAAGCATGATGGGGGTTCCTTTTTAGGTTATTTTCTTCTGCCCTGCTGCCCTTAGTATTCTGTCTTTGTCATTCCGTTTTGCCAGTTTTGCTACTATATGCCTTGAAGTAGGTCTTTTTACATTGACATATTTAGGAGATCTGGCAGCCTCTTCCACATGTATTTCCTTCTCTAGGTTTGGGAAGTTCTCTGCTACTATTTCTTTGAACAAGCTTTCTACTCCATTCTCCTTCTCTCCTCCTTCTTGAATACCTATAATTCTTATGTTTCATTTCCTAACTGAGTTGGATATTTCTCAGAGACTTTCTTCATTTCTTATTAGTCTTAATTCTGTCTCCTCCTCTATCTGGAGTATTTCAACATGTCTATCTTCGATTATGCTGATACACTCCTCTCTGGTGTCCGCTCAAGCATTCAGGAATCCGTATTTTGTTTTATCTCTTCCATTGTGTCTTTCATCTCTAATATTTCTGATTGATTCTTCTTTATAGTTTCAATCTCTTTTGTGAAGTAGCTCCTGAACTCGTGGAATTGTTTCTCTACATTCTCTTTTACTTCGTTGAGTTTTTTGATGATAGATGTTTTGAATTCTTTGTCATTTAGATTACATATTTCTTTGTCCTCAGGATTGATTTCTGTGTACTTGTCATTTTCTCTCTGGTCTGGAGATTCAATATAATGTTTGATATTTCTAGAGGGAGTGGCCCTGTTTTTTCGCATCCTGGAGTTATTTGGTCGCAGTTCCCACCTATCATCACTGGTTGGGGGTCAGGAGCCATGTGTTCTGAGCCCTGTGCCTTCAGCCAAGATCCCAGGGGCTGGAGCTGGGCTGAGCAGGTCGGGGGAGGGATGCTTTCTCCTGTGTGCTCTCAGGATTTTCTCCCTCTGCTCTTGCTATCTGCTCTCCTGTGGTGTTGGCTTGATAAGGTCACTCCCTGTGAAAGCTTTCGCCCTGGTAGAGGGCTTCCCTCTAGGCTGCAAGGGCTCTCGGGTGTCCTTGATGATCCCACAAACGAATGTCCCTTCCCCCGTTCCTTCCCTCTCGGAGGCCTCCTGCGGTCCTGGATCACAGTCTATTAGGGCAGGGAGGGAAGTTTTCTCTTACCCCATTCCACCTCCTCTGCGGGGGGCTCCCGCCTCTCCACCCTCCCATCGTGTGGCTGCATGGATCTCTCCAATGTTTTTTGTGTTGTGTTTGGATGTCCTCTGTTGGAGTATGAATGTCCTTCTCGTTGTATATTGGAAGGGAAAGATTACTGGCAAAGCTCACTTACCATGATGCTGATGTCACTCCCCCGAGGTGTCTTTTCACAAACTTGAAAACTATGGGAAGAAACCTTTTCTTTCACATGATCACCAGACAACCTTGAGTTTAAGTCTGGGCCTCTCCACTTAAAGGTTATACGACCTCTTGCAGGTCACTTCTCTAGGCTTGCTTTCCCCATCTGTGAAACAAGAGCAGTGAGAGAGTGAATTAATAGAGGAATGGAATCATAAATGTGTCATAAATATAACAGAGGAATGGAATCATACATGGATCACAAATGTAATCGAGGAATGGATCATAAATGTAATAGAGGTATGGAACCACAAATGGGAAGCGCTTAGCACAGGCCTGTCTGGAGAGAGTAAGGCTTGGTGAATGTGAGTGAGTGCTGTTTCCACACTCTGCTTAACTTCCTTTTGTGAAATAGCCCTATGGCACCTAGTTTGAGAATCCCTACTCTTCCTCACCAGGACAGGTTGGGCTAGGCTTTGGCCTGCAGGAGTAGTCCCATCTTTTATTATTATTATTATTGAGGTATAATTGACATAGAACATTATATTAGTTACAGGTGTACAACATAATGATTTGACATTTGTATATATTGTGAAATGACCACCACAATAAGCTGGCTAACATCTGAGTAGTCACATCTGATGAACCTGATTAGAAGTAGGTGCTCATCACCCTGTGGAATTGACTGTCTGGCTCTCTAGTTCCAAGCAGGGAATCTTCAGAGTCTTCCTTAGTATCCTCCCGGGATGATTAAGATTCTGGAGCCAGGAAATGCTCTGTATGTAAGGATTATTCTCTTGATCTTAGCTCTCAGAGAAAATCACTCTTAAAGTATATATTCTGGAGTACGGGATACCTGTTAGGGACTTGAAAAGAGTACAGGATCATACTGCAGTGGGGAGCGGGAGGGTGCTAAAGCTGATACAGCTCTTTTGGAGGGCAATTTGGAAAAAAGTATCAAAATCTAAAACATGTATACTCTTTGATTCAGAAATCCCACCTCTATTAATCTCTCCTGAGAACAATATCAACATGGCTGCACAAACCTACATAGAAAAAGAGATAGCATTGTTTCTAGTAACAAGAATTGAAGTGTTCATCTTTGGGGGTGGTTAAACCAAGTGTAGGTCTTCCATCGAGTGGAATCATCTTTGTGAGTGCAGAGCAATGGTGAAAGGTGTGCTTGATATCTTGTTATGTCAAAAGAGCGAGTTACAGAATCACCTGTAAAACTGTTTTGAAAATGCCATGTTTGCGTACACATGTAGGGGTATGTAGGATGTGAAGTTAGGTAAGGGAATTAGAGGTAAGAGTAGGCGAGATGCCAGGCTGCTTCACTTCCGCTTTCCTCCATGACCTCTTCTTGGAACAGCTTGTCCTTCCTGATCTTCCTGAGTAAAATAACATGCATGCCATCCAATTTGTTTGTAAATTTTAATTTAACAGGCCCTCCCCAAATTGGAACATATCTTTCAAAAGAGCATTTTTAACTAGAATATTTATCCTTCAAAGTTCATTTCCCCACAAAAAAGTGTTGTGCACAGTGATTAGATTCTTAGGCCAGCCAACAAAATCCTACTTAACCCAAACATCCCTCCCATAAATTTAAAAATGCTAGTAATTTAAAAATCAACCCAAACAAGAAGACTCTTATCCATGTTTCCTTAATGCCGGGATTTGAGGGAAAGTGTTCATCTCTCAATAACTGTTTATTGAGTGCTGGCTGTTCCTGGCCCTCTTGATGCCTCCTTCTTCAAAAGATGTGCTTTTTTCCCCCTGGGAGATACCGACTCAGTTTGCCGCCCAGTGGGGGGCTCAGGGGTGGTTCAGGAGGTAAGCTCTGGTGGGGTCAGCTGGGTCCTGTCCACAGAGATCCTGCAGCCGACCAGCCCGGTGTCCCTTGCTGTGGGCAGCGCCCTGTGCACCCGCCTCAGACACGCAGCAGGCATGTCAACAGCCCGGCTTTGGTGCTGGCTGTGCCTGGCGAGGGATGATGCAAACCTCCCGCAGGCTACCGGTAGCCTTGCTGTGGAGCCAGGTGTTTTCACCAAGTGTTTAAGGTGTAAAATGAGAGCCTCCGATACAAGAAAAGGGGAAATGGGTATAGATTCTGTCTGAGAGGAGAATGCGTTCTCATGGTCATCTGGTCCCTGCTGAAAGATGACTTTGCAGATGTCAACATGGGCTTGGGCCCATTTGGCAAAATACCTCGTGGAGTGTTGTTCCCGCCGCTTGCTTCATGGAGTGGCTTTGTTCTGTTGTTTGAACATACCTGGTGTGCCTGATCGTGCCTGAGCAGCAAGGCCTGATGAGACATGACACACTAAATTTGGTTGTGTCTGGGTGTGTGGCAAAGCAAGGATAGGCCGCTTGTGATCCCCCCCCCAGTGAGTCAGGCACAGGAAGGGAGCCTAGTCACGTCTCCCCCACACCCATGCCCTCGGCTGGCCTCCTGGCGGGCACCCCACCACACCCGTCCCAGGCCCCTGTGCTCCGTGCTGCTGTGGCCTTCTCTGTGCTGGCAGGGCTTACTCCTACAGACTCCTTTCCAAAGACAACATCATTTGAAAGTTACTTTCTCCACAGGGATGACATTCCATCTCTGTGATCAGAGCAGTTAGAGAAAGGCTTTTTAAATTTTCCTCCAAATAGTAGGCTTTCATAGCTTGAAGTCATTTTGTTTTTATTTATGATTGAATGATGGTGATTTTCATAAGCTACCATACTCTTCCAAGTTCTTCGGCTAAGCGTCCCTGAAAAGAGAGAGAACTGAAAAATCGGCTCCGTCTGCAATCTGAAACAGAAGATGGCTCGAAAGAAACAATGGTGAAATGGAGTCAGAGTGTCGATTTTGTTTCCCTCTGTTCACTGCGTCCTTCCTTGTTCAACATAGCCATCAGAAAAACTTTGTAGCCCAAACCACTCAAAAGATGATACTTATCCCAAGAAGGAATGAGAGGCTGATATTTGAAGTTTGCTTCAGGGGAAACTCCGACTATTCAGTTAGAACCAAGACTTGATTTTTCTGATTTGGGGAAATTCTTTCTATTGCAGATCTCTCAAAGGCCTTGGTTCTAACAGAAATCGGTCCCAAACGTGACCCTGCTACTCTGAAATTGTTCCTGGGCAACATGGAGAGGTTACTCCACGCCAAAGCTCATGGGTACGAACTTCAGTTCCTGGAAAACCCGGGGCCAAGGGAGTGTGCCAGATACTCAGATCTTGCTGACAGCTCCCCAGGGACTGAAAGAGGAAGAGATCTCCCATGTGATAGGAGCAGAAGGAGCACATTACCCTCCATGCTGAGGCCCAGGAGAGCACGTGATACTTTGTCATCCAGTATGATAGCTCGTACAGGCCAGCTGTTAGGAAATGGACAGGGGACCTTTGTTCCTTTCCGAGCAGCACTTTGAGAAGCCAAGGAACTGATCTCAAACCACCCAGCCAGCAAATCCTGTGTGCTTAGAGCCCTGCATGAATGACGTTACTGCAGAAGCACTTGGACAGGAAATATCAACCCAGGTCCAAGTGAATCTGCTTCATCGCCATCCTCCCTCTAGGTCTGTGCCGAAACTCCTAGCCACACGAGGTGATTTCAATTTCAGGTAGTTACAGTTCAACAGAGTTAAAATTGAGTTGTTCAGTTGCACTAGCCACATTTCAAGGGCCCGATGGCCATAGGTTGCTAGTAGCTACCACAGTGCGGAACGTTTCCATCATTGCAGAAAGTTCTGTTGGACAGTGCTGCTCTAGACAGTAAGTTCAGAATCTAGAGCTTGTCGGTAGAAGCCCTGTGGCTCATTTTTAATTATTGAGAATGGCCAGCAGAGGGGGTGACTTTGGATGAAGTCAGTGCACACGCCTTTTAAGAGAAATCCGACTTACGCGTTGCCACTCACACACGCATTTGCTCTCTTCCCTCTCCCGCAGGGTCCGAGTGATTGGGAGCTCCACCCTGGCGCTCTGCCACCTGGCCTCAGGGGCCGCAGACGCCTATTACCAGTTTGGCCTGCACTGCTGGGACCTGGCTGCTGCCACAGTCATCATCAGAGAAGCGGGTGGCATCGTGATGGACACTTCAGGTGAGCTCCTCTGACCTTTGGCCCACTCTCTGTCCCCAGGGATGCAACAGCAGAGACAAGACTTAGGGACGCCACCAGACTGAGTGTCTCCCACTTCCTTGGAGTCTCTACTGATAAGAAACCGTGCAAGGGCATCAGAAAGCAGCAGGCCACTGCCAGACGTCTCCTTCCCACCCTTCCTGCCTTCCTGCTCTAGGCTTCAACGCGTGAAAACAGACCCTAAGATCAGGATATGTGACCGGATGGGAAGAGCACCACCGCTTTCCTTTATATAACATTTGACAGTTTTCTAAGTGCACACACATTTTGTCCCCACAAACTCTGATGAGACAGGTAGAGCAGGCGGAGTGCTCCCCAATCCACAATGAAGCTGTAGGAGATGGATCTGAAAGGTGACCTGTTCTGCTTCAAGGTCATTGCCTGCCAGTGGCTGACCCCACGGGGGCGAATCCGGTGGCATCTCTGTCCGCGGGTGTGTCCACTTAGCTTCAGGCTGACCACTCATCTGACGTTGAGGATAAGAGTCAGGGACTGGGGGAGTCCTTTTAGGTTCCGTTCTCTCCCAGCTTTTAGTCCCAAGCTTGTTAGTGGAAGCACCGTGGCTGCCTTTTAACTACTGGGGATATACAATGGGTCTTCTATCATTTGATTTCTACTTTTTTCCTCTTTCTCCTCTAGTAGCCTTAACTGAGCTGCTAGAAAGGTATAAAAATGAAGAGGCAGCCTGGAGTGGCAAGGCCAGGCAGACCAGTTTCACTTTAAAAACGTGTCCAACACTGGCTCTGACCACTTGGGCATGCGTGCGTGCACAGAGGGCTCCAGCAATTAGTCCTGTTTATACCCCCGGGAGGACGTGGGGCTTCATCCTCCCCCAACAGTCAGCTACCAGGTCCCGAGAGCAGCCGAATTAGGTTGCTAGGAGCTGATCAGAAAGGCCGACTCCCAGCCCCACCCAGACAGACCTGTTGCGTCAGGACCTCCATCTCACGGGATCCCTGGTGCCACCCATGTAGTGTAGGGTTTGAGAACTGCCCTCCCCTATCCTGGTCTAACTGATCATTCGAGTCTCAGTCCTGAACATTGGACCTTAAACTACATTCTCCTGGCACCGCCTCAAGATGGCACTGGTTCTGTGGAGCCTCAGCTGTACTCATCCTGGGGCAGAGCAGACACTGAACGGGCCCACCGCTCTCTGACCAGGCTCACGGCTAGACCACTCTCTTTGTTCCAGGCTCAAGCATGGCCTGAGCTTTGTTCTCCTTGGAATGTGCGTGTGCTGAGTTCTTTTTGGGATTGTTCCGCCCTGTCCAGTGACCGAGGTACCCTCTCCCCCTCTTTGTCTTCAGGTGGACCTCTCGACCTCATGTCTTGCAGAGTGGTTGCTGCGGGCACCCGAGAAATGGCAACGCTCATAGCTCGGGCCTTACAAACAATTAACTATGGGCGGGACGATGAGAAGTGAAAGGGAGCAGACGACAGAGAATGCCGACCCAGGCCCGGGCCCTCCCGGAACGTGAAGCTGGCGGCCTTGAGCAGCCTGTCCTCAGGTGTCTCGCACGTTCCTAACCCCCAGGGAATGCTGTGCTGAAGTGTGTGGCTCTCTGGTTAAATCCACGCTCTCACCGGGACTGGGTGTTTAGCTGGTTTCTCTCTTTACTCTCACATGGCCTTTTTCAGGTTAGTACAAGCTCTATCAGGGCCAAAACCCGAATCTCATATGACGTATGTATTGATAGTTCAGTCTCAATTTTTCCTTTTCCAGAATGCAAATCTCAGGTAATAAGGCTTTAGAACTGCTCATAAAGCAGACTTGTTCTCAGGCCCTCCCCCTGGTACTTCACAATGCAATAAATCAAAATAATGGCAATCTACTTATCCGTTTCCCTCCGTAATTGTGTCACCTTTCCCCCCCCTCAAATAACCGTAAAATCCAGAGCCACAGATCTAGGCTCCTTGGGAAGGTTTGCATATTACAGCCCAAAGTTGACAGTCTTGCCTCTGTCTGCTGCCTTTGATAAGCACTGTGAAAATGACTCAGTAAGTAGCATGTTAGTATTTAAAATCCAAGACATGGTCAGAATGAAGAAAAACAAATCTGAAATGCTATTGTTTTGTGATCAGTTTAATGAAGAGAAATTTTAAAGTATTTTCTGGGCCTTATTTTTTTGCTCTGTAGGAGGCAGAATTATATATAAGAATAATTCCAGTGAGGATATTCACTGACTGGCCACAGGTATTTTTTCTGAAGCTTAAGAATCAGGAAAGTCTTAAGACAGAAAATTCCAACCCACTCTTAACTTTTTCTCTCATGTTCCTAATTTGCCATCAACAACAACAAATATGGAGTATTTGGGAGCCTCTCCTCTGCTGTCTCTGGCTCCTAACCTCAGAGGTTGCCTGTACGATAACCCCAGACACTTTCACCAGACTGTGCCCCGCAAGAGTCATTGGCAAGCCCCTGGCTAACCCGCAAGGCCTGCCCTCTCTGGACACGAGGGGCCTCCAAATCCTTTCACCGTGAACTCTCCCACACCACCCACCTCTCGCAGGGCGAGCCACACGTGGGGCCCAGCTCATGCAGACGGTGGACCCCAGAGAGCGATGCCACAGAGGATTATTCCCTTTGGGAGTAAATTACCTGGATACCTTACCTCCACTTCCCTTTGGGTTATTAGTTGATAAATTTGCTCTCTAAAGGAAGTTCCTTTTCTGATCTGAACGGGGTGAGCAGGTGAACTTCCCCCAGTGGGCGCACAGTTCTAGGGTCCAGACGTGTGAGGACTGAGGTCTCCCTTGGGTCTCCCACAGTGCAGTGCACATGGGCCTCCACTTTTGATACCTACAGGCAGATGGCAGACCGCCTGTGGAGCCACAGAACTTCAGGCTCAGGGGGCCTTAGCGGCCACACGATGCTGCTGCCACCCCTTGGCACCTCAAGTCTCCTCTATATCCCGCCTCAGTGTCCAGCCTCTTGTTGATCCCTAGAAGGACTGCACCGGTCCTCCAGAGACCACCCACCCACACCAAGACCCCTCAGATCATTAGAATGCTCTACCTATGTTGAGCCAAAGTGTGTCCCTTACAGCTTCCATCTCCACTCTAATTTTCACCTGTAGGTCTGTGAATAACTAAGCAAGGCTTCTTCCATCTAATGGTGTTTGAGCATAAACATGTGTCTCGTCCTTTTCCATTTCTCCAGGTGAAGTAGCTCTGGTTCCCTCCCTGAGCCCCCAGGGTTGGTCCCTTCACCCAGATGTGTCTTCTAGACTCAGGTTTGGTCTGATCATCCGTCACTGCCCTTCCTCTGATCAGCCACTCCGAGCTCCCGTTTGTTGTCTGGTTGTGCACACCACCCTGTGGAGACGCGTGAGTCATGAGAGCCCTGTTGTGCACAGCTGTTAACCCACCCTCCAGCAAGTGCCCCAGCCCAGCTGGGTTGTCAGACCCTCCGTGGGCCTGTTAGTTTGTCAGTGCTGAATTTCACCGCATCAGCTTTAGCTCACAGCCGCAGCCTGTCTGGATTTGGGAATTCTGATTCTTTCTTCCAGTATGGTGTCAGCCTCTGGAAGCTTTTTAGCTACATATTGGCTTAGCCTGCCGTCAAGAGCTTTTATTCAAATCATGGGGAAAAAATGTTGGCTTGGATCAAAATAAGCCCAGAATCCTTGAGCACCTCACTCACCTCTTCCAGGTTCTCGTGATTCTGTTAATCACCGCTCAGAGGGGCCGTTCACACAGTTTTCAGTACATCTAACTGTAGTATCAGCTGGCAGACGGTTCTCTCCACAGGGCTGCGTAAGATCTTGCCACACATCTTGCTGAATTCTAGATTCATAGAGCTTTGGTGTCTAATACATTAGCCACCAGCTACATGGGGCTATTTCAAGTTAAATTGATTAAATTCCATTTAAAACCCAGTTCCTCAGTCACACTAGCCACCTTTCAAGTACTCAGTACCCACATCCGGCTAGTGGCTACCATACTGGACAGTGCAGATAAAGTGCAGATATCCCCAGCATCTCAGAAAGTTCTACTGGATCACATACACACTCTTCAGTAATCTATTCTAAGATCTGGATTTAGTTTATACATAACACTCCAACTTCTATTTTATGGAATCTGCATTCTTCCCTGGTGTTTGGAAACCAGAACAATCCTGGTCAGTCTCCAGTCTCCCCAGGCTCCCTGGACAGTCTTGCCTACAGGGTGGCTCCCAGGTCACCACTGTGTGATGCGCTTGGGGTGTGTGCGCAGGATGGAGAGGCTAACCCAAGGCCAGAGCAGAGCCAGAGCAAGGTAAGTTACCAGCTATGTTATTACAAAAGTGGAACCAGATTAGAATCCTAGAATTGCAGATAATTAATTCTATGAATCTATGATAAGGGCAACCTTAAAGGGAAAGCCTCACAAACAGGGAAGGAGGTGGGGACAACTGTGCCTTGGGGATGGGAAGGGTGGGTGAGTTGGATGCTGGAATACTAGCCCCAGGTCTTGTTTAGAACTGGCTGGAAGATCTGCCTCTTCCCCCTGGGTGGCTTCACTGCATGGTTCCCTGAGCACCAGCTGGAGGCCGGCCCACTGCTGCAGTCCGGAGAGCGCTGACTTTGCAGTCAACAAACCTCATTCCAACTCAGGCTTCCTTCACCCGGGCCTCAGATGCCACCCTGAAAACTGCAGGTGATGCCTCCCTCCCAGGGTTGTTAAGGGGACTGCCTGGCGTGTACAAAGGGCCCAGCTGCCACTGACACTCAGTGCATACCAGCTCGTCACCAGCATCCAGAACCTTCCACGTCAGAGCTTCCCCTGGGTGACTAAGAGCCAGGATCTCTCATGTGCACAGCTGCAAATCCTGGCTCCTAGTTTGGTGCACATTCAGGACACTTTGAAATGGGTGATCAACAAATGCTAAATGAAGAGAACCAATTTGATCAGCCAGAGATTAGCAGATACATTTTTTTTCTGAATTCTGTTTATGTGAAAATATTATGACAACATTAATATTTTGTTTCCCCATAATGCCAGTGGACTGGCACTCTTTATCTGTCACATAGAAAGGTACACCAGCGTCAGCAGTCCTGCATCTGGAGAGCTTTGAGGGAACCTACTTGTGAGAGTGAAGATACCATGAAATGAAGCTTAAGGAAGCCTTGAAACCCACATGTACTGGAAGGAAAAAAGAAAGTTAAAGAAAAGCATAACCAAAATATTATGGTAAAAGTTACATCATTTTGAACACAAATTAATATCTTTTAGGCCTACATTTGCAACTTTGAAAACATTGTTGTGGATTATTGAGCATAAATTTCCAATGCTTAAAGATTCCAGGGAACAGGTACACAAGTGTGGGCAGCACCCCGAACAAGTGTCAGAATCCTGGTTCTGTGCTCAAGTCCCAGCTCTATACTAATTCGCCATGTGACCTTGGGCCATCATTTAAGGAAACTGAGGACCCAATCAGTACCTATAACATTTGCACATTACAGGTCTCCAGAGCTCTTTGCAGATTCTGTTCCCTGAGCCTGTGAACCTGGTAGATACCTGCCTTGCCAGAGTCCTGGTAGGAAGAGAGAGGAAGTGTGTATTTTCCAGCTGTGATAGTAAATACATTTTGTTTTCAAATTAACTGGATTTTTTGCACATTCCCATAGGTTCACTTTAGAGTGAGTGCTGTGTCTTATCACATTTTGTAATAATTTTGTCCTTGAAGAAATAGAAGCTACCCAGCGTCTGACCAGCCTGCAGAAAACCCCAGGCCGCTTGGAGCTCTGTCCTCACGGGCCAAGTACCCCGGCCTTTCCCAGCTACTGATGGTTCCAGAAGCACAGCGACAGTCATCTTGGAGGAAACTGTGTTTTCTTTCATTTCTGGAAATAGCTTGATTTGTCATTTTATTGCTTTGTCTGCATTAATTTTGTTTAATGGGACTTTTTCATAATAATATGGCTTTTTTTAATGAGATTTTAAAATATATGCTCAAGTTTTGCCAAATTGCTGATTATCCTTTTAGGTTTAGATTTGCAAGTTTTTATTTTCTCAGAATACACTCAAACAGCTCTTCTGAGGATATATGCAATTGCACAAGAAATTCCTTACATTCTTCAACATGCATTTTGAGGTGTAATGCTCACTAATCATGTAGTGTCTTTTAGTTCTGAAATGGTTATGGAGGTTTTCTTCAAAGAAATAACTCCCCGCAGGAAAAGCCTCTCAGAGGGCCCAGAGGGCAGCAGGAGACCCTGAGGACACAGCTTAAATAATGGCTGCAGGTGCCACAGGCCTTCTCACGCGTCCACGTGTGTTTGCGTCTCTCGAGTTCGCTCAGTCTTTGACAGTCTGAAGCTGACATTGGTAAGCTTTTGGCCTGAGCATTATCACTGCCCCTTCGGGAGAAGCAGAGACCCTCTGGGGACCAGGGGGGTGTCCGAGACCCCGAGGTTGGAGGCCAGGCCAGGGCACAGAGCACAGGCCACCGTGGAACCTTGAGGCCCAAGAGCCCCAGCCTGGATGCCTCCTGGAAACCAAACGCTCTGCTCACTTTCATATCTTTGAAGTTGACACACTCACCATCTCATTTTGACTTCCTTGAAAAATAATGTTCACCTACTCTTTGATGATTACATTTGCTCAGAATTCCTCTTGTAGGCTTCCAAATGCTTTGGTTTTGCCCTAATTTTTTCTCTTATTTCAACAGCTTTACTCAAAGCATCTTGTGGACCAGAGTTGTCAACTGTTTTGGTGCCTTTATAATCTAACTTCAAATAAAAGTAAAACATTTGTCCTAGTACATCGCTAAATGTCACCATCCAAACAGACCAGGAGTCAGGAAGCATGATTCTGGTCACATTAAAGTAACTGTGTGACCTTGAGGAATTCGCCTCCCCTCTGTCAGTCTTGGGTGAGATGTGTAATGTGGGACTGTCCAATCCCCTCCAGGGCTATTGTGAAGATGTCATAGGATAACATGTGAAAGTTGCAAGAGCTGTGAAATGTCGGGTGATACTGTTCATACAATTAAATATTATTCAAGAGTGAGAAGATCATGGTATCTTTCACAGCCAAATGGCATGGTTCAGCTATTGGAGAAAACCAGACATATTTACTCAGATGACACCACAGCTTAGACAGGCTTGGCCTGATTTATTAAACCATTTACAATTACAATTCTGTAATTATTCTGTGCCCAAGACTTCAGGCAATCTCAGAAAATACCTCCCCTAGCTTTCCTCAGTAGGAACCACATTAAAGTATGAACACACTTTATCATGCTTTTTTCCGTGGAGGCAAGATATAAAGAGAACAGATATTTTAGAGCATAAACAGAGCCAGATCACTGGCCTAAACACATGGATGATTTCCAGAAGCACGAAGCCCTCTGAACCAACGCTTTGGGTTCCTAGTAGATGGTGCGAAGTGCAGGGCTGTGCATGTGGGCGCCACTTACCAGCTGGGTGAACCTGAGTTACAGGTGGAACCTCTCTGGGCCCCTCTGTAAAATGAGTTAAACTGCTCCTTCCAGGGCAGGCAGTGTGTGCATAGATGGTTGCATCAAACAGATGTACCAGAAGAGCAGACTGGAGCCAGAACAGAGGACCCGCAGGCGAGGGCTTCTGCTCGCTGCTTCGGACCCTTCTCTGCCCGGCCTCAGGTGGGCTTCTCTTCCTGCTGGTGAAGCCCTCAGGGTGGAGTGCAGCTCAATCACCTCGTAAAGGCCCCCTGTAAAGGACACAGGGAGACAAAAGTCTAGATGTCTGTTTAGTCATGTACTGTGTCAGCTGGGTGCTGGGGCCAGGTTCACCAAAAACACGGGTGAGCCGCATGGCTTCCTGGTGTTGGCCTGGACCTGTCCCCTCAGGCACCACTAAGTCACCACACACATCAGCAGCAACCCGTGATTGATCCAAACCAAATGCTGGAAAAGAAGTATGACAGAAAATGAAAGAGGAGTCCTTAGCATATAAAGGGGGGAGGATTGTTGCAAGAGACCCAAAATGGCAGAGTTTCAAAACCAGGCGTGCAGGTTCTACGCATCCACAGAGCCTGTGCAAGCAGGTGAGGGGCAGGGCCACCACCCCTATGCTGGGCTAGAGAGGCCAAAAGAGCCCGAACTTGAAGTTGGGAGGAAGGCCAAGTCTGGGTGGCTGGTGGGACATGATTCTGGCCCCTGGGAATGGGGAGGTTTTAGGTGTGACTCAGAATACACAAATTCATACGCAAGAGGCAACATGGCTTCCTGGAGTGCTCTGCTCAGGCCTCTTGGAGGTCAGGTTCGGTCTGGGCAGTTCATATATCCTATCTTGGCATACACGTCTGTAACCGTCGAGCCCCTGGAGGCCCACAGCACCCCGCCCAGTGCCTGGCGCAGAGGAGGTCCATTAGAGGGCATGGTGTCACGCGGGACAAGGACAGGGAAGTGATAAAGACACTGGGGCCGACTCAGAGGGCCTCAGCACTAAGTGAAACAGTCAGCACTTCACGCTGAAAACATTGGAGAGTGCTGTGTCACTGGTACGTGTTCACATGCCTACTGGAGAGCTGGTCGGAACAATTTTTAAGGGAGAGGAAAGACACTCAGACAGGTGGTGTGTGCAGTGTGATTCCACGGGGCAACTTCATAGTTTATCAGTCCTGCAATAGGGTTGTGCTCTTTCAGCAGAATCATATATCTGCTCATAAAGCAACTGGGGACTTTGACAGTGTCTCCTGGAGGCTTCTGGAACTGAATAATGGAATCTCTAAGGTGGAGGAGGGGGAGGCTTAGGAATCACCTGGTCCAGCCACCACAGGTAAATGGCCTGACCTCTATTCTCCAGGTCCCACCAGTCACTAGCCTTATGGTACACTGCCAGTGTGCCTGACATTCACCAGTAGAAAAGCAACCGTATTGATCAATTAATTCTCCCATCAACCTTAGGGGAGGAGGCAAGGCCATGAATGGCTCAGGGCAAATGGTGTGAGATCTCATATCCACTCTGTGGGTCCAGACAACCAGTGGGTTAGGAACACAGCCTGACTCAGCTAGAGCATGGCCTCCATTCCCTCCCCATCCCCTGAAATGGCCTCACCTCTCACCCCTGCATTGGCCAAGCACCATGCACATCCAGTGCCTGGACTAAATTCACCAAAAACCATCTCAGGAAGGGTCAGGGTGATGAAGAGCCCTTTCGTCCTTGTTTTGGGTTCTGGCTTCTGACTGCTGCTGACCAGAAGTGTTTCTGTGTCGTGATGTCTTTGGTTCCCTGTGTCTCAGCCAGAATGTCACAGGGTGGTCCCAACACCTCTGCCCTTGACAGCGAAGCAGCTCCCCATCCTTCCCATGGTGCAGGATCCACCTGGCACAGAGGGACAGGTCCACAGTGCCTTGGCTTGGAAAAAGCCAAGTCTTATTAAGAGATCAATGACTTTAAATCACACACAGCAGATATGCAGTTTTCTTTTTCAGTTTTCAACAACAAAAATTAAAGGTAAAGCCCTTAACGCATGTTTCTAAGATATGTCTAGATCGTGAGGTCCCTGTAGAGTTAGCTTTTAGACCCATACGTAGGGCTTTTTATTTTGTGCCTCTGGCATTCCATCTCATCAGCTTGGCCTTTGGATCTTCTGGGATTCTGATTCTCTCTTTCTCTTACTGAAATCATGCCAGCACTAAGGCACCTGGGTGAGGGAGGCAGGAGAGTTTCCCCAAGGCCCTCGGGTCACATCACCTAAACCCCTAAAGGTGCCCCTACCTCAGGGCCAGCCTGCCCGTGAATCCAGGAAAAAGGATATCTGGATAGCATGTGGCCTGTCCTAAGGACCCGATGCCATTAGCCCCGTGCGGCTGGGAAGAATGTTGCAAGCAGCCTCCAATACCCAAGAGGCGTCCCCACATTGTGGTCACACCGCAATCCTTGGCCCACCACAGCTTCCCGACAGCTGGTTACACCTATTTCCCGGCACCCCGCCGGCGCCGCTCCCCACCTGCGCTCCAGGAGCTCAGTCCTGGCAGGTGGCAGCTGTACCCTCATCTTCATGGAGCCCTGGGCTGCGAGGCGACATGGCAACGCCATCGCTGGGTCCTGGCAGGCGCAGCCTCGCCTCACCAAGCCACTGGGCAATGACGCTGCAGACTGAGCATTCTGACCAACTTCTCCCCAGAGGAGCTGAGCTTCTGGCAAAGCTGGCCCAGCCGCCTAGGGCTGATTCCCTGCCGGGTCGCGCCGGCGCCGCGCGGCGCAGGGCAGAGGTGCTTCTTTCCCAAAGGCGAACAGCGCGCCCCCTGCTGTTCGCGCTGGCCAGCTGCGCGGCGCCTGAGGCCACCAGCGCTCTCAGAGGTTGGCGCCCGGCGAAATCCCTCAGGCTCAGAGCGCATCCTGAGCCATCGGGTGTGACAGGGGATTGTTTGTCCCTGGAGGACCAGGAGAATTTAGCTGCGCTGTTCCTCTGTATCCATGATTGTGTGGACACAGGATTTAGGAAATATGACAATATCGTTGTTCTATGTAATGTGACATACTGTCTGTGTATAACCCAAAAATGTGAACGTAGGCCATGGCCAAAGTAAAGAATGAAGTAAAATTTAAGTCTGCTAAGAAAAAAATGTAGTAAAACCAGCTCATTAGAGTTTAATAAAGTTTTTCACACAACGTTGGTTTTTTTGGTTTTTGTGTTTTTTTTAAGCTACAATAATGACTTTGGAAAAGCCATTTAAAGGTTTTTAGTTAAATTTAAGATGGAATTGGAGAGCCAGCCCTGATGGCCTAGTGGTTCATGTTTGGCGCACTCTGCCTCAGCAGCCCCGGTTCGGTTCGCCAGGGCAGAACCACACCACTGGTCTGTCAGTAGCCATGCTGTGGCAGTGGCTCACAGATAAGAACTAGAAGATCTTACAACTGGAATAGACAACTATGTACTGGGGCTTTGGGAGGGGGGAGAGAAAGATTGGCAACAGATGTTAGCTCAGGGCAAATCTTTCCAGCAAGAAAAAGAGATGGAATTGGAATTATACTTCTGGATACTGATATGTACAATTTTGTAATGGTAATGTTGCTAATTAAGTACCTCAAGGACAGGGAACCTGGCTCTTTTTTTTTTTTTTTTGACATCTTCCCAGAATACTAGGAAAAATCTTAATTCAACTCAATTCAATATTTATTTGACATATCCCAACAACACTACTTATTAGCTGTGTGAGACCTTGGGTGGGATTCTTTTTTTTTTTTTTTTTAATTTTTATTGAGTTAATGATAGGTTACAATCTTGTGAAATTTCAGCTGTACACTATTGTCTGTCAGTCGTGTTGTAGGTGCACCCCTTCACCCTTTGTGCCCACCCCCCACCCCCCTTTCCCCTGGTAGCCACTAATCTGTTCTCTTTGTCCACATGTTTAAATTCCTCATATGAGTGGAGTCATATAGAGATTGTCCTTCTCTATCTGCCTTATTTCACTTAACATAATTCCCTCAAGGTCCATCCATGTTGTTGCAAATGGGACGATTTTGTTCTTTTTTTTTTTTTTTTTTTTACGACTGAGTAGTATTCCATTGTGTATATATACCACATCTTCTTTACCAAATCATCAGTTGATGCGCACTTAGGTTACTGCCACATCTTGGCTATTGTAAATAATGCTGCAATGAACATTGGGGTGCATAGGACTTTTGGAATTGCTGACTTCAAGCCCTTTGGATAGATACCCAGTAGTGGGATGGCTGGATCGTGTGGTAGTTCTATTTTTAGTTTTTTGAGGAATCTCCATACTGTTTTCCATAGTGGCTGCACCAGTTTGCATTCCCACCAGCAGTGTATGAGGGTTCCTTTTTCTCCACAACCTCTCCAACATTTGTTACTATTAGCTTTACATATTTTTGTCATTCTAATGGGTGTAAGGTGATATCCTAGTGTAGTTTTGATTTGCATTTCCCTGATGATCAGCGATGATGAGCATCTTTTCATGTGCCTATTGGCCATCCGTATATCTTCTTTGGAGAAATGTCTGTTCATGTCTCCTGGCCATTTTTTGATTGGGTTGTTTGATTTTTTGTTGTTGAGTTGTG